AAAAGATATACAGAAAGAAAAGGGGTCTAGATTTTTTTAAATGGAAGCTGATAAATTTGTTTATATTTTGTAGAATTTTGACAATTATAAATTTTAACAATAATTCATGTTACATGTACCTATGTGCGTTCTCCCCTTGGTTCGGTGGAGAATCCATTGTTACGGCATTAAACGCATCACGGTACTGTCCTGTATAAAATACGAATAGGATTTCATTGAGAAGGTTACACACTATGAATTTTCACGCTGGATTTAACGGAACAGATTTTAGATTCTTATCATAACCGAATTTGCACCCGACGCGATTTTATCAATCGCGAGGGAAACCACGAATTTTGTTTTTTTTTATTTTGAATATTGAGAGAATTAAACATTAAATCAATTTTCTCTAATTACTACATAATCATAAAATTCTTTGTTGAGGAATTAATTTATTTACGGTTATGATTAATTTTAATATTGCATATTTTATAATGAAAATTTATTAACTAAGGGAGGTGAACGCAATATACAAATTTTATTTCTTACTTAATTTATTCTACATTATTAACTTCAACTTATTTTTTATGTAACATGTTACAGAAGATTTTGCTAATTTTATTTATTTTTATTTGATTATGCTAAATTTATGAGAAACATGAATGTTTATACTCGTAATACAAATTTGTTTTACAATCTCTATTTCTTAACACATTATAATTTTAGTCTGAGATTTTTAGATTGTTTTATATTTTTCTTATTTTATGTACTTCTATGTTTTCTGTGTATTATAGAAATTTTAAAACTGGAGAGCATTTATTCATTTTTTTTTTAATAATATCACTCTCTTGTCACTTCTCTCCCTTCAAAAAACGTGTCACTCGTCGCGATTGTGCCGGGGATTTATATTTATGATCGGGCTTAAATCTTTGGAGAGAGATAATTGGAATATAATAAAGCTCGCAGACGAGGGCGGAAAAAGATGCAAGCGCGAAAGCGAGCTCGAGAGACTTCAAGAGGGGCGACGGACATCTAGCAATCGTTCGGAGGGTGCAGCTGCCTAGGTATTTACGTGCCCCAATTTCACCCCCCCTTCTCTCCGAGGGCGAGACGAGCCGCAGGGTGGATGGATGCTCTCTTTGACTCAACTCCGCATCACTTGAGTCTCACTCTCTCGAGTCTATCCCGACGTATGGGAGAAGGGGTATGTTTAACAAGTTCTGCACTTTGTATAAATTTCAGCATATGTAAATCGTGCGACGGAACATATGGATATTCGCAAATAATGCAAATTAAACTTTTGTCGAAATTACATTTGATATTATTATATTTCAAATTATTTGTTGTTCCTAGATCAATAGATCATTGGCCTTTAAAAATTGTGTTTTGCATTGAACTTACTTATTTTGTTAAAATAAATTTAAATAATAAATTTAAATTTTTTGTTAAACGATGTTTTACTTTAAATTAAGATGTTTTTAAATCTTTTGATGATTTTGACAATGATTTAATAGCAGATTGTTTTTTTATATTTATTGCAGAAAAAAGTGGTAATTGATTTTTTTATTTTTCACGTAAAAGCATATCTTTTAATTACAGTTTGTTTTCGTTGTAAAAAGAAAATATAATATATTGAATTATCCACTTATAAGAAAAACATTTTAATTTGCATGTAAAATTACTTTTTAGCGCATAAATTAACTTTTTTAAAAATTATTTACATTTATCAAAAGCGAAATTATTTCAGTTATATAGTCTTTAAAAATTCTTTCGGAAAGGGACATATGTATGACAGCGAGCCAAGTGTTACATCTCTATCCGGGCGCTGTTACATCTCTGCATTACATTGTAACGCGCGGATGTCGGGTACCATTATTGCGACACGAGAATCGAGAATTAATACTTTATTTGTGTGTCACTCCAGCTGCGAGGATCAACACAAGTGTACCCCTCGCGATAAGAGGGTATCCAGGGGTACCCTTAATGCGCGGCTCCTCTGTGGGGGGCCCGGATTCTATGGTTTGCTAATTTTCACGGGATCATCGTACCGTGACGTTAGAGCAGATTAGGCTCAATACGGAGTGCTGAACTTTCGCACCTCTCAATGACCGCTTCTTTCCGAACGGTTATGACTGATGTTTCGGCTATCACGAAGAAATTGCAAGCTCAACCCTTTAGAAATTTTTCATATTCGAATATAGTGATTAAAAGATGATAGGAAATGGAAAAACCATCGCGAGATGAATTTTCCACATATGTGCACAGAATGAGATTCACATAAATTATTTTGTTATGGGACAAAATTATTTTCGGATCTGTATTTAATCAAGTTTTTAAATGCTTCAAAATTATTCTCTTTGTGTTTTAAAATTTTATTTCCGCTGGGGGATGTTTTCTCTTTATGCAGCATATGATTTAAAAAATGATTACTCTAGATTAATCATCTAGATTAATAATAAACGCATTATTTTTTTAAATTGCAACGCAAGATATTTTTTATTATTTGATTATTGATTTTCTTCATATTACTAGTTCAGGGTTAAAAAAATCGTTCACCCCAATCGAATGTACGAGCGATAAAAGCAGTTGTATCGACACACCTGCGTCAACTCAGAGATAAACTCGATTATTCGTTGCATAAACCAATTTATAATTTCCGTCAAGAGTCTTTTTTGATAAGAAACTTTGATATGTCTTACTAATATCAATATTATTTTTTATCTTCTTTTACGAATGATTTCTTCAACTTTTCACGAATTTAATCCTCCAATAAATTCTGTTTTCTATATAAAACAATACTCTAAATTGAAAGTTCTTGTTTTTTTCAAGATTCGGATAAATTTTCGATAAATGTATTAATTTTCTCTTCAAAAGAATTTATTTTTATTTTTAAATATCTTTAACATAATTTTTAAATATTTTAGTAAGAAAACTCAAATTCTGTTCAAATAAAACTGAGATCGAATAAACTAAAGTTTTTTTCAATTAATAAATACAATATCGGGAAAAAATATTTAAGAATCGTTCAAATATTTCATCTTTTTCGGGGATAAAAGGAACATTTGTTAAATTTCTCTTAAAATTCGAACCAAGTCGAAAACACACAAGTGCTCGTCGGACCACTTTATCGAGTGACAGGAGAAGCTTCTTATCGAACGAGGAAAGGTTTGGAATCGATTGAGGTTGTACGCGACTTGTCTCCTCCCCTCTGCCCGGTGCCACGAAATCGTCCCTAATTGTCCACAAATCGACGACCACCCTCGATTTCCCGAACCGTTAAATACAACCACCCCGGAGGCAGTGGCCGGACAAGGGGGCCTGTCGTTCTGCTAGCCCCCCTTCGACGTCGAGAGGGTTCGGGTTCACCGGGCACACACCCCGGTAGAATATGGATTCAATTACACCTCATTGTGCCGTGGTGTCTATAAACAACGCTGTTTTCACAGCTGATAGCGACCCACCGCGACTCTGCGGGTCGCGTGTTCCGAGTGAGCGCAGTTCGCGGTATTGTTATTTTATCGACAATTTTCGAATTTCGGGAAGAATAAAACAAACCTACCGTTTCCAATTTTCTCAATTTCATTCAATTTTGCACGAGAAAAAAATCTAAATCCTATAAAAAAAGTTTTCAGAAGATTTTTTGCATCTTATTGCGTCTCTCGACGTTTAAAAGAAATGACGAGATACGAAGTAAAGAAGATGACATATGACATGTAATGTTTTAACATCAAAGTATCAAGCAGTGGTCGTTTTTCGATTGTTTGTATTTTTTTTAAATTAATATTTTTTCTGTTCTCTCTCTCTC